ACTGTACTTAGAAAGAACAGACCAGATTTTACAGACATTCACGAGTTCTTAATTGAAAGTGAAATTAGCATGCAAAATCCTATAGAAAATTTAGGTACTGCGTTACAACTTAGGGGTTTCCAGTAGTGTAGGCGTATAAAGAATGATGACATTAAGCTTTCAAGATCGTTTTTGTGATAAAACTGGATTTTTCCCAAGATTCTGATGCTTGAGCTCATAAGATTTATACTACGGTATCCAGAAGATGGACAGATGAAGACATGGCTGAAATAGGAAAAGAGATAGGTGTGATGAGAATGCCTTCAACAGTTCACCCAAGATATGATTGCCCACAAGTAGAGAGACTACTTTATACGTACAGATAAATTTAATGAGTTTTTATGTTCAAGCATATGTCCAGGCACACTACGAAAGACGAAAGCTTAATGAAGTAAAATAACTTCAGAGTCAGATTAGGGCATGACACGAAGTTATGGTACAGACAGACATACAGGGAGGACAACTGCACTCGATCTTCTCATAGTATGCATGCTAAAACTGCTCATCATCACTGGGTCCAGTAGACATTAAAACTGAGGAAGAGGCGATAGGGGAAAGAAAGGTCAGGGGTCATAATAATTTATGCTACTTACAAATTGTCTCCATATTATCTTGCTTTCAAAGTAGGATTTCGCTCCGACTCAGCATGACGAGGTCTTGACGCTTGCTACTATTGAACTTGCATTGGTTTTTAAAAGCACTGCTTTTGCTGCTTCAGAAGCAACATTTTGTCCCGTCCTGGGCGATAACAAGCAGGGATACCAAGTATTGGATTCGAAAGACATTGGTCCTCATTAAACATATGGTGCATCTGTTGCCTGGAATCTCTTCTGTACAAGTATAATGTCGCAACAAATGTCATAAATGGCTTCACCTTTAAGCAGCAAAATGAGGTGCGCATTACTCAATTTATATACCAGCGAAATACCATATAATTTCCTTTATGGTAAGCAGTCCTGTTGGGGTAGCTCAGGAAGCTACTAAATATCATACATCATTATTTTCCAGATCTTATGATGCATCGATTGGTTAACAGGTAAAAGTTTACTTTAATCTTTATATGAACGACTACCAAAACCGCTTAGAGCCAAGGAATCACAATTAATATGCTTTATCCATCTAGTACACAAGATGGATAATGAGTTTGGTAGGTTTACATTCCATACTGAATTATTGCATGTTTCAAATAAGGTAGAGCTCACGCTTTTCTTCCTTGATATGTTCTCTGTGGATTCCATCAGGTTGATAAAACAATTTCCAGTCAAAGGAATTTAAACTTAATTTTTTCACTAAGTTGGTCGTTTTGAGATGAGCATTAGCCACGCCATAGATTATCGAATAGAGAAGTAAGACGAGGCGCTCAACACTGTCAGTCTTGACTGGGCACCGGATTGCTCGAATTAAACAGTAACCTATTTCTTTGGTTATGCAGATACGAGATAGAAAATAAAGCTCTACGTGTTTTCTAAAGACAAATTTGGTGTGCATCCTACGGTCCCACATCATTGCAATTATCCAGGTAACCCTAGCGTCCTATGGCACTATCTGCTATAGAGCCCGCATACCAAACAGAAGGCACACCAACCTGAATTATGACATAGTTTGGGCGTCCGATTTTGTATTGACTGTCGTTGTGTTCTCCATAGGATGCCTTTGCCTACAGAGGGATCATGGGTGGGTTGCACTGCATCGCTCACAGCTGCATTCACACTCTCCTATTCAATACAAACCCAAAATAATAGTACCGGGAAGCATGTGGATGGGAGCCAGCTTTCATCAACGGAGCTGACCCACACTCCTTCAACATGTACAACTGCGGCATCATTCCTGTCTATCTAATTTGGGTATCATGCGTACCAGACGTACACAAGACGGTGACTGGACCGCAGTCGGTTCCACACTGGATGCATGCAACTACTCTTTGAGAATAGCACGGCTACGAGGACGATCCACCACGTCCACCCAGCAAAGATTAGCAGTATCCTGGGAACGTTAATCGAGGTGGAGAGTGTTAAACTTCAAGCACAGCCAGGTAGTACATGTTATCTGGGAGGCTTAATCTATCAAGCGTACATCCGATCGGTAGTCAGTCGAGTTTAGGCAAACCGAGACGACAAGGCACATAATACGTATCTTCAGCCTCAGTCTTGTCAATGACATTACGATTAGTAAAAATTCGACAGCGTTTTTGCCTTACCTTCTGACAGCTATCAGTACTGTCTATGTATTAATAATATCAGTTACTCTGCCGCATCATTATGGGATTTTTTACCCAGCTAATCAGGAAACTTATTGCATCACATCTAATTTCCTATCTTTCATCAGTGTATTTGTCCAAAAACATTCACAACCATCATCGATGTTAGTATCATGAAGGCTACACGCAGTAATTCTCCTTAAGTACGAGTGTTTCCGACTTTCTCGGCGTTAGTAACCGGTCGAGTGCATAAGAAATCTGCTGTTCCAATAGATAGGATTTATTTATATGACTTTTCTACTGCTCAAACCGGGCCTTAATGCCGACGCGAGCGATCGGAGACAACGGATCCATTTTTCCGTTTGCTCACCGACCTGACAGGCGTCGGGATGTGAAGCGCGCCATCACAACTGCAAAGCACTATCCTTGGATTGAATCAGTAATGCTGCCAGGGGCATCTGTTTCGTGCGCTTAGTTAACGCGTCGAATCACTAAGCACCTGGGCAACAACGACTGACGTCAAATATTTCAAGAGAAAATTTGTTTTTAAACGTAATTTGATTATTCGAACTTTGTTCCACAATTCAATTTTGGTGAGTGTTTTAGTAGAGTATCAGTTCATTGCACAATCCTGGATCTAGAGAAATTTGTTTAACTCGCTGGCAACCGGGAGTGATCGAATAACATTCCGTTCCATTTGACAGATTCCTGAGGGTCATTAATAATCGGCTTGCCGGTGGACTCAGTTGGTAGCTCTGTGCAAAGGTGTACAGAATCACCTTTTTAGTTTCACTTTAATTTAATTAGTGAAGGGGAAAATCTAATCATTTAGTTATTTTGCAGTGCGATCCCTTTCAGATCGAAATTATTGGTTAAACCTGAAGCGACGTTTGCCTCCTGTCTTCGGCCGCCGGTTATAGGTTGACGATGGCCTTAAGCGTCAAGCATATCTATTTGCTATACAGTCGTTGGAGGCGCCAAAATTAAACAGTCCCAACATCTAAGCTTGCTCAACCGGGTAGGCTCTGTGTGAATCTAGTTGCTCATTTGTGCAGTTTTACATATAAACCGCTGTCTATACTTGCTTCTGGTTGGTTTAGCAAGAGATCATATTTGCAACAATTAGGTCCTTTTAGTAATTTGAATGAAGTCGTAAGAAGACGAACACTGGAAGATGTCGACCTTTTCTATTGTCTCTTCAGTGCCAAGACCGTCTGAAGGACTCTTTTGAGCTCGCCGATGCTTTAGAAGAGCTTAACCTATCCGATAAATTCATGACCACTTTGGATGTACAATCGCTTTTCACCGATGTTCCCCTACATGAAACAGTTGATTTTGTGTGTGAGTGGCAAAATGCTCCGATTTAACTCTTGCAATGTCAGTCAAACTACTGAAGAATAGCCTACTACTTTGCATTGAGAATATCGTTTTCCAATTCCAAAACATTCCTTATCGCCAGATAGAAGGGGGGGGGGCAATGGGTAGTCCGTTGGGCAGATTTTTCATGTCGATGATTGAAAAGAAGTTAAGTGTGGAAATATCGCTTCTTTCCTATTATAAGCAGTACATGGATGATATTTTAGTGTTTAGCTCATCAGAGGAGCACATCGCGCGTCTGGCTGACCGCTTGCAAAACGTGCATACGAATATGAAAGTAACCAGCGAAACAAAGCAAAGCAATTGCCTCCAATATGTGAACGTGTTGATTTGCCGAAGAGCAGATGGCTCCATCAAAAGAGAGATTTACCGAAAACCGACTTGGTCAGGGCAGTACCTCTGCACATTACCAGCTTCTCCCCAATGCGGTACAAGCGGATCTTAGTCAAAACGCTATACAACCGTGCAATAAAAATATACACTACCAACAATTTAGATGGTGAGATTAACTCGCTCAAGGAAACGCTGCTGAAAATGGCTATCCAAGATGATTCCTCGACAAACATATTCAGGCGAGGGTGCCGGGATAGAAGGCTTCGACAGTGTCTAATAAAAAGATCTACATCGAGCTACCATTTAAGGGCGATTTCACCAATATGAGGACAACGAAGCGCATAACTTCCACAGTCCAGAGGACTTACTATGCTGCTGAAACTGTTCTCATAAACCGGACTAATCGAATACCTGTGACGCCATAACGGAAAGACAACCTGTTGGAGCCAACACACATTGAATTTGCCAATTTACTTGTAGTTGTAGTATACGCTACATCGGCCGTACCAATAAATCGTTGAACTCCAGAATAAGGGAACATGTACTTAAATGGTTGCGGCATCAAACCATCCAGTCGTCGCTTGCTCGTACCACCAGTTCATGTAAGCCGCCTGTTTCATCCATGGGAAGGCGTTTACTTTCCACCTGTCATCAGTTTGATCCAGCCAAAATGTTTACAATCCTGTGAAGACATGCCATCACCTGTTTTCTACGTTTCGTAGAGGCAGTCGCGATCAGCCGCATGAAACCCGCACTCTGCGTGCAGAAACAGTTGTTCGTAAACCTACAACTGCCCTGGGCGTGGGGGTGCCACGTATGCCCCCTACCCTGTTCTAACTTGTTCCGGTGTCACCCCACCTGTCGCCTTATATATTTTCATGTTATTGTGTTGGTACTAAAGAGACAATATGAAATGTTGACACCTGCCAGTTTTCTTCTTCATAAGGCTTTATTCAGATATCATATCGTTCACTTCTGCGGGCTGACTACAAGAAAGCGAGTTATAGATACTCTTGGTTGCCACTGCATATTGGTACTTATTTATCCTTCACAGGCGTGTCGTTTCGGGCGGGTGCAACATTTAGAGACCCTCATCTTCTATGGCGCTGACATCAATAGCCAAACTTCGAAAAACGGTAACACACCTCTTCACATCTGTGCTTTTACTGGACAAGAGGCTTGCGCCCGTTTGCTTTGCCAGCCAGCCTTCCGATTCTGGATTCCGCACGTCACTAAGCGAGCTATAAATACAACCAAAGTCTGCTTCACTTGTACAGGGTTATCTGACGGTAGTTAACCCGGTAGTTTGTCAAGACCATTTGATCTCTGATTTTTCTTCGGTTGGGCTAGAAATCTTGTGGAGCAGTGAAGTGCTTAGTTTGGAATCGTAACCAGTGGGATGATCTAACAAGGCACTAGTATGATCCAGACAAGTGAAGAATCATTACAACGTTACCATTCTGCACGTGCATTTTGGACACCATATGTCAATTTCAAAAGGCCGCAGAGTGAAATAATGGTTGCCATTTGACTGAATTGATAAAATTTGAAGTGAAACAAGACTGATAGCTTGAAACAAAAGTTTTGTCAAGTTTGAAGTCACCGGATGACCTGAAATTGTGGTGATTAGCACATCCGACGACCGTGGACTATCTTAAAAATACCTCGACTCAACAACAGTAGAACACCAGCCATTTGAACTGATGCTTCGCTGCCATACCATCATAATGACCTATGGATTGAAATAATAATAATAGGGAGAGAACGGGGAGTAACCGGAAAACTCTAATGCTCTTAGCAAATATTCAGGGTCAAAGCGCCTACACCTTGTGTTAATAACATACCATCACAAACAGGTGGCTATCTTACAAAGGTAAGACGGCATCAGCGAGACAGTCTCACTGCTGCTTTTACCGCCCCGCGTCATAATCAGCCATTACCCCAGATAACTCAGCACCAAACACACTTTAAACATGCAGTCCGACTAGGAGACGACGGCAGACGCGCCACTGGTGTCGACTGCGAGCCATGTCCTGTAAAATCCCGAGCCAAGCACAAGGCGGATCACGTGGACTCCAGCCCGGAAGGCGACACGGACCGACGGCACCCAGTTTGGTCGTCAGTAACTTTATTTCAGGCTGTCAAGTCAACTTTTGTCCACCTCCAGCCATGCGCCACCCAACATCTGGCAGACTAAACAAGGACTTCCTAGGTAAGCAGTGATCAGGCATACGTAACACATGCCCAGCCAACGCAAGTTATTCAGTGCTAGCTGTTGTTCTAAGGAACTAGAATGATTATCATTACTCAGAACTCACCTACGCGATACCACCCAACACCAACAATGCTTCCTAGACAATCATGATTGAAGACTTGAAGGCGCCACAGACGTTCAGACCGAGGGGCAAAGTCCCACTCCCATAGAGCAGGACAGCCCTCACTGTGGCCTTGTAAACACGGCCTTTCAAATGAAGGGAAACTCTCTTCTGTCGCCAAAAGTGCCGCAGGTTCAAGAAGGCAGTTCTGGTTTTTGTAATACGTGAACCGTTGCTGATGCAGGTACCAAGGTAAGTGAATTGATTAACTACCTCGAGTTCCCCGTTATCAAGGGGTAATCAAGTGACTGGTGGTCCTGCAGCAACACTTTGCACTTTGAAGGTACGAAGCGCATACCAAATAATGGGACCACTGTAAATCTCGACTGCTTATCCAGGTTGTACACAGCAGTGAATCTCCCGGTGCACGGAGTCAAGTTAGTATTCATAAGTCTGGGATGAGGGTCGAACTTTTACAATCGACTGTGAACTGCTACATCCGACAACTTCTGTCCACGACCTAGACGTAAACGCACGCTGTGATTTGAAGTCCTCGGATAATATGAACAGGCTACGCAGTAACAGAAGATGTGTGCGTTACACGCTCAAACGTAGCCACGGAATCTGATCTACATAGATCGCCTGTTGTCTCTTCTCTAGCAGAAGATCAATGCATTGGGACGGCTCAAACATCTACAGTCTGGTCAACCGGTGCAAGGTGTAAAAGATCGAGCTCATGCAAAATCATGGTATCAGGTCCAGTCTCAGTGTATGCAGGGTGACCTACGAAGACTGTCATCACCATCTCACATTAGCAGAAGATGAGGAACACACCACAATACACAAAGATAAGACATACGAAAAAGCAAGATCCTGAAAACAATGGAATGTAAAAATATGACAACACACTACTTAGCGACATATTATATGTCAAGTGACAGTGGTTGGAGGGCGAAGATAAACGGGATGGTGAGGGACAAAGAAACTCATAACACAAACCGCACTGAGTTCCGATTCTTGCCGTGTCAACTAGCGTATCCAACTAGACGTGCTCATCGTCCTTCGGACCCCAGCCCCGCAGTCGGGACGCACCAATCGAAGTCAAGTTCGGAGGGAGGAAGTTCACTACTCTCGACCAAATCATCGCTTGGCCACAATTCCTCTTCTTCCATCCACAACCCCAGTGAGCAAACGCATGACGCGGGAGTCGGTGGGATAGCATGCGCAACACGTGGCCCAGCCATCCGAGCCAGGTTCCTGAACTAACGATGCTGAGCGGTTCACTTTTACCTCCAGTGCCATAGACAACATGTTAATTCCTCACGCGGTGTTCTCACCAGACAACAGCTAAGCCGCGAAGGCAGCGATAGTCGAATGTAACAAGCCCATTTATGTCTTTGGACTTGATGAGCCAGGTTTCGCAGGCGGGCGGCTTGCCGAACAACCTCCACGTGGTGCCAGCTGGGTGGTTCGGGATTTTCCCGTTTCAGCAAATGGTTCGGCGGCAGTGTTCTAGGATGTGGTGGGTTTTCGCCTGGCAAGCGTTCTCCCTATAAAAAGCCACATATGTCCGTTTAACAACACCGTGACGTGGCGGACGTGACTCGCCACTAAATAAAGTCACCGCCCCTTGCTTCATCCTGGCGAAGCATTGTATTCCAGCAACCTTATGCTGTACTTCTGGGGAGCATTGGGCCCCTGTTTGACAAAGGAACAAACGAACGGCGTATGAACTGAGCAATCAGTCACCGGCTCCCAATGGGTGCAATTCCCTGAATTCGCTCCGTTGTCTTGCGGGCAGGCTATTCAGCCAAAGGCTCGGGGTGGTGTCCCCTAAGTCAACACCCTACTTCGGCTTGGGCAACCGGGTAGTATCTCGCCCTCTGAGGAAACCATGGACATCGTTGTGTTGTGTTTTATTTTACTGTTTCTGTACCTTCGTTTGAATCCCATGGTTTCTGATGGCATTATGTCTGTTAGTAGACTTTTGCAAATATATAAATATATATACCTTCAGGGTAAGAATATTGCCATGTTAGCGCAACAAGTGACAGAGATTGACAAAAGGACTTCGAGCTTTTGCTATGCGGTTCGTGAACTCGTCTTACATTCCAGTGGCGCTGATGCATCTGCCTACAAACTTGAACTGATCGACGGCTTCAAGCTGATCACGAACATGGGTCAGCGCAGGAATGGGTCTCTATCAATCTTGGAGGACTTGCATTTGGACGGTGCAAAGCATAGCCCGAAGCGGCTGACAGCCAGTGCTAATCTGTCCACTGCAGCTTGGCATGCTTGGCAGCTGTCACAGATTAGGACAATATCATCCGCATAATCCAAGTCAAGAAGTCGCTCACCAGGAAGTAACTCCAACTCCTTCTAGATCGTGTACAGTGAAGGCTGTTTCCATGATTTCGTCAGTTGCGAAGTTAAAGAGGAAAGTTGATAACGGGCAAACTTGTCGCACACCGCTGGAGATATTGAAGGGCAGCGAACGTTTGCGAAAAACCTACACTCTGCCCCATCATGCGAGAAAAGCGCTCAAATAATGTCTACTATTTTTCGGGCACACCATTCCTTATAAGACCATCTGAAAGGGTACATCAATCAACTGAATCGAAGGTAGCTCTAATGTCGAGAAACATCACCATCATTATACACACTCGATGCAGGTGGAAAACACCTCAGCCGTGGTACCGCAATATAAAAGAAAAGAAAAAGGTGAAAGAGAAGCACGCCGGTTGAGTCACCCGGAACGGATGGACAACGTTCCGGAGAGCTAACAGCCGGCTATTGCGCTGCCTATAAATTGAGATCCTGGTTGGAGGGAGAGGCTAAGCGGCGGGGTTTGGACAAAGGAACACACAACACAAACGCCACTGAGGTCTGTCCCTAGCTATGTCAAAAAGTGTAACCAACCAAACGTGTTCACCATCCGTCGGTCCACAATCAAGGAGCCGATAGGCTCCAACCGAGGTCTACTTCGAAGTAAGGGCCTTCAGTCCTCTCGACCAAGTCATCGCTTGGCCACTTATCCTCTTCTTCCATCCGCACCCCGACGCGCAAACAACGCAAGTCGCGTGAGTCGTTGGGCTGGCATGCACAACATGTGGCCGAGCCATGGAAGTCTAGTGTGTGAAATAACGGTCCTGAGCGATTCGCATCCTCTTCCCGCGTCAAAACAAAGCGTCGAACAGGTTCAGTGCGCACGCGGTGTTCCCACCTGATGTGAGCCAAACTGCGAAGGCACCGGTGGTCGAATGTAACTAGCCTCTTTATGTCCGCTCATCTCATGGACCAGATTTCACAACCGTACAGTAGAGTCGAACGTACAGTTGCATTGTATACTCTAACCTTCAAGAGAGAGAGTGATGTCGTGCCGGCGCCGTTGGTGGCGGTCAGCAAAAGCGCCTCGAGCTTTGGCTATACGGTTTGTGACCTCGCCTCCAATTCCAACGGCACTGATAAAACTACCTAGGTGGTTGAATTTTTGAACGACTTCTAGCTGATCCCCATCAAGGGTCAGCGCAAAAGGCGGTCCATGCGAAGCTAGGAGGAAAGATTTGTCATGGATGGTGCAAAGCATAGCCCGAAACAGGTGACAGCCAGTGCAAATCTGTCCAGTGCAGCTTAACACGTTTGTGAGCTGTCAAAGATGAATGCAATATCATCATGACAAGGAACCGACTAATGTGGTTCGCTGATAAATATGGTAGTGCACCAACAATTGAGGTAATGTGAAAATGTGATCAACACAGCCGCGACTGCGACGAAACCCGGCTTGCTCCTCGTGAATCTGGCTTCCACGCGTGCCAGCAAGTCTATGAAGAACGACAGAGGCGAGTATCTCAGAGGCAATGGAGAGCAGACTGAGCTCTCTATCACTACTGTACCCTCGAATGTAAGATCAGACTGCTGAAGTTAAATAAAGCCGCGGGACCAGATGATCTTCCTCCAGCTCTCTTCAAATTCGGGGGACCTGCTCTTGTGGATGATTTACACGAGTTACTAGCTCAGGTGGCTTGCATCTTGCATATTTGTTCCTTTTATTTTATGGATTGCGGACCAGTAGCTGTGGTGTTTCCCACCTATAGCAGACGTGTATAATGATGAAGAGGACGATTGCCGCATTCAGGAAGTGAGCGCCCTTGAAAATTGGAACTATGGGGAAGCGGCTCGAGTCTGCTGGGACAGTTTGCTGCCTGTACAGCATCACAAATTGTACAGATCATCTACAAGCGCCGATCCTCCGAATTTGAAGACTGGAGGGATTCTCGACGATCCTGTGGGCTTATTTACTTTCAAAATTTTGGTCTCAGTTTCAACTTCTGCGCATGAAGGTGGGTCCAGGGGGCGACCCAGGGAGGAGGACGATCAATGGCCGAAGAAGAAGCTGGTAACTCTAGTTAATTAAACTGCATTTCAAAGTGTTGGGCCCAACGCTTCAAGCGCTTCGACAAACTGTGGATGGGCCGCCCAGCATCGTCACATATGGTCTAGCTACCACCAGGTCACCCGCTGTTGCCCACTTCACGTATCGAACGGAATAACTTACGATGGTTACCTACAGCAACAATCAATTCCATCTCCGATCCAGGATGAGACTAGCAGGCTTCGCGATCTCACTTCAGGCTAACACACAGTTTGGACCTGAGGTCTTTAAGAGTTTAGTAGTGTTCGCTTCCGGTCGGAATGTGTCGACGAGCATTCAAAAGCTCCAGAGATTGCATACAGACCGAACGTTCAGGTTGGCACCATGAGCTGCCAAACGAAGACATGCCTCCTGCTAATAACGTTTGGTGAATAAGCGACCAGTTGCGCCCTACTGTGATCAGAGAGCGTTTATTCAGCTCGGATGCTAGTGTGCTCTGATGCATATTCAGGAACTCTGGCTTCACCAGCTGGCATGTATCCATGCGCTCACAGCGACGCCGCATGCGCCCACCGAAGCGAACTGTAAGATCGGCACAAATGAGTACGTGGTCAGAGTCCGCGCCCCTACCCAAATTGAGCGAGTTTTGGAAGCCCCTCCAGCGGTAAATGATTGCGATGTGATCGATTTGTTCACATGGCAGATCCGAGGCTGGAGGCGTCATGTCACCTTTTTGCGGGTGCTATGCCGAAAGTGAGTGCTCGCGAGTAACAGACGAGCATCTTCACACAGGTGTAGCAACCGCTCAGCGTTATCATTACGGGAGCGTACACCGTATTGGCCGCCCAAATGGAGTTTCCCAACTTGGACGTTCACATCGCCAGCCAGGATCAAAGTACCCATACTATTTCCGCGACGAAGGAGCTCGTTCAGTCAGTGATAGAAATCATGGTTCACCGAATCAGGCTACAATTTGTGGACGCGTAGATCGCAGTGACAAACAAGAAACCGTTTGTCCACGCGCGACTTCGAAGCCTGGAACAAGCCAGCCAATCTGACGGCGCACATCCGGCTGTTCATTGAGATCCACTCGATTAGCACAGCTTCAGCCCGGAGACACAGAGTAATGCCCACAACGGATTGACAAGTATTTGAAGATGCGTTGTCTCCAAACAAACGCAATGAGAACGCGCAACCACTGTCGCTTGTGTGGGATCGCATGGTAATCACGGAATTCGGGTCTTGCAGGCGGGTTTCTGATAAGCAGCAAAAATCGATCGGTAAGATCACGAGTGTTCGGACAAGTGTTGTCTGTTGGCCAATCTGTGGCAGAGTGCGCACGTTGAGGCATGCCAGTCTTAACGAGAACCGAGGACTCCAAAAAGGAACGGACGAACTGATATTGTTCGCTCGACTGAACGTGGACTTGTCAACGGGACTGGAGCGACGCCGTGCGATTGCTTGTGAGTTGAAACTAGAAAACAAGCAAACACTGAAGTAAGATGGGAGAGGGCCGAAGATGGGGGAATTGAAAACAGAGGGATAAAAGTGTAGTTGGAGTGGGACGATAGGAATGAAAAAGCACAAGAGGGGGATAAGAAGACAGTAAGGCTTGAGCAGTAGCATCCAAACACCTATCAACCCTGCTCAATGCAGCAGATAGCGCACCGTTGATTATCCTCTGCGACGACCAGAGCATCAAGAAATCGTGTGAAGGGAAGTTCATAGAGTAGTGTTGCGCGGGCAGGGTACTGTCACTCCAAACTCTAACATGGTGAGCCAGGAGACCGAGTTTGTCTAGCCTCGAACCATGACCAATATGGTATCAGTGACCCTGAAGATGCAAAAAGCACTTCACAGCATAGCTCAATGGATCGCGGAGGCACGCAAACATCGCACCACATCAAGGTCCAGTGGCGTCACGACGGCGTATGAAGACCTACTCGAGACTAGTCATGTACACCACAACACTTCCATCGGGTACGAGTCGAATGCAACATGACTTGCAGTGCTCTACATCTCGGTGACTACCCAATGCTCCACTTGCGAATACCAAACACCACACATGGGAACCCCGGTCAAAGATTGTAGTCATGGATCTGAAGTGAATCACACATTCACTGTGTTTTGAGTGGGGAGTGGTGCATGTCTGAAACTGTCTGCCGGAACACATGGTCACAGTTTAGTATTTTTCTGGAAACATACAATGTGGCGCACGAAATGTTATACTACTTGTTTTGTTCACCATACATGTATTTATCATCAAAATATTACAAAATCAGTGCATAATTAATTGTATGAGCATGAAAAGTTTGTTCGATGTAGTATGTGCTTAATAAGATCACCATTTTGTTTCACAACCTCTTGCAAGCGAACCATTACATTTGTCACAACCTTCCTACAAAAGTCTCCCGGAAACAGACGGCATAACTGCATGATGAGAGCCCTGAGTGGAGCTGCACTTGCAGGCTTCCTTGCGAAGACATTATCTTTCATGTAGCCCCACAAAAAGAAATCACATAAATGTTAGGGCTATGCGGGGGCCAGTCTCCTAACTTGGTGACGCTTAGATAAGCGATGTGACATTACCCGCCCATCAAACGTCATAAAGAACAACATTCGCAGTGTGTGGGTGGGCTTCGTCTTGCATGAACCATTGAGTTTGTAATGGGAGACCAGTTGCCAAGAGTACTGGAATAAATCTGTTTTTCAACAGATAAACAGATCAAAGAAAAAGGGTCCGATGATTCCATGAGATGAAATCGCTGCCCACACACTGACCTATTCAAGATAATGTTCCCGTGCGTGCAGAATGTGATGATGTTAACTTGCCCAGAAAAGAACATTTTGCTTATTCACTACACCATTTCAATGAAAATACCCATCGTCAGTAAAGCATGTGTTGTACAGAGCGTGATCCTCTTGCACTAATCATGAAGCGAACTGATGTCTTCGTTGCTTGTCTTCTGCTGTTAATTTATGGACAAATGTTATCTTGTAAGTGAACATTTGAAGATCAGAATGCAGAATTCGTTATATAAACCCCCGAGATATTCCTAACGCAGCAGTCGTTCTCCTTTTTGATTTGCCAAAACTTTGTGTCAAAGCAACGTAAACTGCTTCCTTATTTTCAGGGAAGCGGACATTTGATCTGCACCGTCGATTCTTCTCCACTACAGAGACAGTTGTTTCAAATTGATGATACATTCGCTGAATAGTCTATTTAAATGGAGCCCATTTTGTATGAAAGTGTGCACAAACACGTCTTTGTGTCGCTACAAAACTCCTCGTTTCTGTAAAAAAACACTACAACTTTCACCTTCTATTCAATACTCAATCTGCTCCTATACGCTATGTTGAAAATTGTGTTTGGCGTCAATAAAATATCCTATGCAAACTTCTCGTAACGTCTACCGGATTTTCTATAAACCGAGGTATACGAATATGAGTTTTCAACATTACATCTATAATATTATACGTGTAATAAACAAAACAAATGGTGGGACATATCTTGTGCCACCCAGTATTTTGCGAATGTGGAAATCAGAGAACAGTACCCTGCTGCGCATGGCATTCTGCATGTGTGATAGGTTTACTAAAGTGAGTAATGCAGTACATAACAATTCTATGCGATTGCACGAGATGCAATTTAGCATGACTTTAACATTTCCGATCGGTGGAGTTGTACATGGTTCACATTTTTCTGCACTAATAATACGGCTTTCGGTACTCAGCTTGCAAATAGCACTCTAGATATCTCATGCCTAGCTAGAGGTTAACCGATAACGAAGCTGTGGACGACGCCAAGTCTGCGTGAATGCGAAATGGAAGAACAAAACGCTATAGTTGAATCCAAGCTAAAGCAAGCCAAACGGAGATGATCAGCAGCAGAGAGAACGTCCCAAGCGTACACGGAGAGAAAGTGTCGGAGAAATAAACTAGCCGGTGAGGAAGCGAGAGTGGGAGAAAATAGATATGAAAAATATAAGGAAGGTGATGTTATTGACCGCGCGCTTGCAGAAAGGCATGAAACACGTGCGAATCCATGGATAAAACAATAGGTCTACCTTGACCATGTTTCTGAACTGATGTATGGTCTCCAAGTGTTGTCAATCTTGTTTTCTTTATTGATATTCAAGTATAGGTCATGCATTGCTTCTGACAAATCTTGTCGATCAAAGCCTTCTGCATGTAGCTGACGTTCTTTATGTTCTGCCAATCTCCGGGTGATTTCTCCGTCAGCAAATGCGATTGCCCGGTACGCGTCACCGGCTTTGCACCAGAGAGCCTCATTGCTGTCGTTTGGGTCGCTATTGAATGAGGAACATAGGATATCACCCAACGCAGCCCTTACGACACATTTGTTATGTGACTTCGCTCGACGAGGAAAAATGTGACCATCAGGTAAAGCCGGATCTGGTAGTTTGCCTGACTCAAAAGAAGCATCATTGCCACCTGGAGACAATCAGACAAATGCGTGTATGAATGAATGTATACAAAACCAGAAACAGAAATTCGCTCATAGAGTAAACAATATTCAAAAATAATTGTTTCATGTATTAGGTTCAATCCCTGCAGCGGAGCCAACAAATACGCAATAACACCTCTTCTTAAAATTGTCGGCAGAAAAAATTAAAATAGATGAAAAAAGGTTAATTTTAACTGATCGTAAACTCAGCTACTTTCAACGCTTGAAAGTGATGAAGGCAAATAATCTACCCGAGTGACCGGAATGAAAAAATTCGAATCCGAATCTGTCTTTGTACTAAAGGAAGAGTGCATTGAAAAGAGGATACAAGAGCAAAGCACACAAGGAAGGCAAGGGCTCGGTGACAGATAGTCATCTATCTTATAGGCAACAAATCCTAAAACGAAACATGCGACCATCCAGTTTAGATGAAAGTGCTCACATCATTGGCTATCAGGGTAGTAGATGAGTAGTCTCAATAATGGAGTCTCATTTGAAGCGTGATTTGGTAAGGAAACTACAAATGATACAGACAGTGAGAAATGCGGTAGAACGCTGACAGCGGGTTTTCTATACACTATGTCAAAAACAAAAGTAAGATGAGTAATCTCATTAGGCAGAACGACGATGACCGTACTATAAGTGCGAATAACGTCGAATGTTGTTTGCGAACATACTTCTGTGCGTAAGCAAGGAAGACACTTCACTGGTAGCAACAGGAGGATGCGTGGCTGCATTTTCTACGACAGGGGAACAGTCAATGGAAACCGGATTGGCGCTGGCAGTATAATGAACCCCTGGGAGAGCCGATTGCTTCATTTGATTAGAAGTCCGAGATTTCACCGAGTTCGCTGGGATTGACCGAGAGCTACGGCGATGAGGTAGATGTGTTATCTTAGGATTAACGGTGTGTGAGTTCGTGGACAAAGTTCGCTGGGGCGCGGCCAAGAGTAGCTGGCATGATGAACTGGAAGTGCACTGTCCAGAAACCGGAGGAAAAGGAGAGGAACACAGTCGCGGGGAGTAGAGAGTAGAAAACACGCCTGGTTGTTCGGGTTCAACGGCTTGGTGCGCAGAAACGTAAGCGCGCTTGCGCACAAACGGAGCATTCTGATCCAGATCGTCCTCTGAAATAGAATGACTGGACGATGGTCTACGAACAGACGATGAGTGAACCGGAGCGTCAAGTCGGTGCTGAACTCCAACATCTGTTGTTGTGTTCTCAATTCCATTATCGCGTTTGTCCATGGCTAAAAAAGAACAATTGATAATGATGATAAGCATAGATTACGACAATTCCCATGATTCGCAATCACCCTCGCGAAGCAGTGCCTACTATGGAACAGACGTCTTCGGCTTCCCATGGTGTGGATCTTGACTCCAATTTGGAGTCTTGTGACTTTACCCGTAGGCTCAACGGAGTTTCTTCCAGCTGTATACATAAGCCAACCACAAGAAAACCTGTCAGGGACCGGGCTTCCCACGCAGTATCATTAGCCTACGTGCGACTGGTGGTGGTTTCGCCGCAGCGAAACCACCACTGCGTACCGGGGTGTACCGCTGATGCTTTTATCATATGAAAAGGCGTATTACTAGTCTCCTGCCGTCTAGTAAAGACTGAACTTAAGCGGCCGTCCATAAATCAACTGTGCAATAATAAATCGTATTCCACAGTTTTTGGTATTTGTCTGTGAACATGTGTAAGAGTAAATTGGGCGTAAGAAGGGAATAGCACCGACAGTAAGCCGGTGCCACACCCTCTTCGATACCACATGGTTGCCACCAGTTAAGAGCGGGTAAGAGACATCGGATAGTTTGTCCAGACTACGCATACTCGAACGGATGACCTCTGGATTATAAGCCAAAAGATTGAAACCCTCGGTCACCGACCGGCAGAACCAATTGGCTACTGACCAGCACGAATCACAACATGCATACAGTGTATGAATGCACGTCGGGGTTTGAGCTGGCATTTACTGGAAATCTTTATTATGAACCAGGAAAGTAACCAAGCTATGTTGTTAGAAATGGAGTTTGTACCTTCAGTATGACATTAAATGACGTGTACGGAATGGAGGGTGAACTTAACAACCTAGCGGCTAGTGATCGATAGTGACGGTTCGTCGCTGTCACACATGGCTCTGATTCAAACCGCTGCATTGCAAGAGAAAAATCAGGTTTAAATGTTGATGGAGTGAAGAAAAATGTATGATGCTAACGGATTAAATGGAAAGATACGACAGTTCAATGTCTTTCACGACTGGTGGTTGTTGTCGGATCGAATCCGTCTGTGACGAATCCATGGAAATTGAGGCCTGCTGTGGAATTGCAGAGTACTGGATGTGTGCTCAGATTGTGGACAAAAGCTATAGTTAGATCAATGTTTAATGTGAAGCAGTCCCCGGTCATTCTGAGCAGTGACTTCATATGAAGACCACCTCTGAGCTGCGCGTTACCAACACTGTGCCCAAAGACTGGAACTTAACTTCTCCAAGAGGTCTGGAGTACCGAAGCAATCCCGGCTGATTGCACTCCAGAGATTATCGTGCCCGTCTTCAGATAAGGTATCTGGACAGACTATGCTAACCACATAGCGATTAGTCTCATCTACCTTGCATCTAAAATGCCTGCCGCCCTGCTTTTAAGGAGGCACAGCCTGGTACCCGAACAGGAAATACGCGATGAGTAAGCTGGGTTGCGCTCTGGTCGGGATTGTATCGAGCACATCTGTACACTTCACCAAATACTCGAGCGTAGTCAAACGTTCGGCCGGCCAACGACCGTTGTCTTGTTAGAAATAGGAGCTGCGTTTGACTCTACTGACCCAGCTGCTCTCTGGAACTGTCTTCTGAGAAGGGGAGTGTCTGCGAAGTACGTCAACATGCTTCGATCTATTTACCCTCGAACCTTGGACCGAGTGCGGATGTACGGCGGACTTTCGCCTCCCTTTAATATCACCAGCAGCGTATAACAGGGCTGCCCAGCATTACGCTTCCTGTTCAATTTCGCTATAGAAGACATCCTGGAGAGCGCTCTAGAGAAATGCGGATCAAGCGGCGTGAAGCTGCTTCCGAGGGAGAGACTTCGCGATTTGGAATATCCAACCACATCGCTGTGATCTACGATTCCCCACATGCCGCCCAAAATGCGTTGTGCAAGTTCGCGGTGTCTGCTTCCCAGTTGGGAATGACTTTCGGCCCTTCGAAATGTAAGGTCTTCGTAGAGGATTAGCTAGGAGATGCTCCCAACCTTCCCCTCTCGTCATTCTCTGGAAGTGATAGATAAGTTCGTTTGCCTCGAAGGCTATATCAGTGCTAATGGTTTAAGGGATGAGGTCTCTTTGCGGGTATCTAAGCTCCGAGTTGCGTTTTCTAATCTTCGCCATCTCTGGTGTCGAGGCGAACTGAGTCTATGTCTGGAGGGCCGAGTCTACAATCTCTAGTGAGAGCGGTCCTGCTATACGGTTGTGAGACAGCCTGTTGGTGCAAAGGACGTTTAGAGGCTGTCTGTCTTTGATCATCGCTGCCTTCGGAGCACTGCTGGTGTATAGTGGCAAACTAACAGTAATGAGGATGTTCGCCGGATAATTTTCAGACCAGACAGACTTTTCAGGCCACTGAGCCGCATAATTTCGTTGCATAATTTTCCGTGACTTAGGTAAATGCTCTGCATGCCTACTGAGTGTTTGTCTCAAAGTGCACTCTGTGCGCACAGAAGTCAACTAAAAGCGAAGACAGGGTGGCCAACGAATAACCTGGACCAAAAGTAAGATGGCGCTGACTACAGATTTGGCCACGGTCGGGCGCTCCCGAATACCTAGTTGGGGACGCAAGAATCACAAACACACATTGCTGGAGACCCTATCGGAAATGGTAAGAAACCATGAGCAATGAGGAAGGTTGTGACTACACACATAACTGCAGTTTTACACTTCTTTGTTACCCTCTATGTTCTTTCACTATCGTTGTAGTTTATCCCATACATATGGGAATATATATATGTATATATATATATATATATATATATATATATATATATATATATATATATATATATATATATATAAATGGATGGGAACACCATGTGAGCAACCGTACATGAAAAAAAGCGAACTGCCTAGTGTCGCTGTTTTACGCAGCAAGCTTTGATGGCTGGGTCACGTGCTATGCATGCCAACACGCTAATTCATACGGTGTGCGTTGTTTGTGCAACCGGGGTCGGCCCAAAAGAGGACAGGAGGTCAACCGACGACTTGATCAAGAGGAATGAAGAACCACACTTCGAATATGACCTCAGATGGCGCATCCCAACTGAAGGGTCGGGGTCCAAAAGATAGAGATGTTTGTTAGATACACCCGGCCTCAATGATGTTTGTGATGAGTTTCGTCATCTTGCATCATCCTATTTAGCCTCTCTAACCACAATCTCGCTGTGCATTCATAATAAAAAACAAGAGAATGCCACTTTGTTTTGTCTCTGTTTTTCTTTTTTTATTCTTTTTTACCCCCATCTTAGTGGCGGTTGAGGTGTTCCTCACGCACATCTAGCGAGTAGAATCATGAGGACATGACTCCAGTGGTAGGAATGACCGAGGGCTACTACAACACAAACCGCTGTCCACATTGAGACTGTCTATAGTAATCCAAAGAAAGGGTGGACTCTCCAAGAAGTAGCGTTGCGAAGATTGCTGGAACAGTGCCGGCCGCTAGCCACTGTAGCCAGAGTTTCAGAACTCTAGCTATCTCTACCCGGAGGCCGCAAACCAAGTTGGAAGTGGTCATTGTATGCAATGTTGGAATTTCGTAATAACAAAAAACATTCCAGTAGAATTTTGTACGCGCATAATGCTTTAAAAATAAAGCCATCGAATTCGGAGCTAGTAGTTGCTTTGAAAACTGGGACAATGCCATGCGTGAGTTGCTCAAAGATTAAGTCTAATCAGTACATAAACCAGAAAAAGCTGATAAACACAGTAGCGCATGACACGTCATACAGCATGCGTAGCTCGATGACAAGCAAGAAGTAGAATCAAAGGGTGGTGCAACACCGGGTGTCTATAGTGTGAGATAGGGAAAGATAATATTGATCCGTATTGCACGGAAAACTTCCAACAGCCTCATGAGCGAACAGCCTAGTGGAACTGGTAGGTGTAGATGCTAAATATAGACGAGCGATCAAAGCCATTCATCAGGCGAATTGATTTACTAAAACTATTAAAGGTTGTACGGTGGCTGGCAGGAAAGGACAGACAATATGTTCGACGGGTGGGGTGCGTTTTAGATGGATGACCAAAATAAAAGCACGAGTGAAATGGATGGCGTTAGAAATCACTAAGCAAGGAGTCGAGGCGACGATCGCCGATACGGAGCCAAATAAAGGAAGGGAGCGGTCACCCATGCGCATAGATTGGACGAACACGCAGCAAAGTAAGCGAACTGGAAAATCAGCCCGAGAGCCGGCAATGCTTGATTGGTAGTAAGTTGACCCTTCTAGATGTTTCCACGTGGGCTTCATATACAGATCACGAATGATGCAGTTGACATTTATATTGAACGGTGTGAGCAGCCAATACATTTCGCTTTTTCACCGCTAGTGCAAAACCGGCCTTTTTCTATTGGGATCCAGTGGCCACCAGTTCCGATCATTGCCAAGTGTCAAATCAGGTGAGGGACGACTACCATCATTATCTTACACTTAGTTGAGGATGAGAAACATACCTCAGTTAGTGTGCCGCAACACAAGATACAAAGTTACAGTAAAAAATAGAAAAAGCAAGTAATATAATGCTAAATATTATATTTCGCATTTAGTATGTGATCGAAATTGGAAGGGGAAAATAAAAGGGGGGGAATGAACAAAGAAACTCACAACAAAAACGGTATTGGGGCCAGCTAATAGTCATATCAGTAAGTGTGTATACTAAGGGTGTTCATCGTCCTTAGGACCTCAGCCAGGCAATCGGCATGCACCAATCGACGACAACTTCGAAGTGGAGGTTTTTATTTCTCTCGACCAAGTCATCGCTTGGCCTCCACTCCTCTTCCAACCGCACCCAGGGACGCAAACAATGCACAACGAGGCTGGATCCATCGCAACCAGGCTGGACTTTACCGTGGTACGATGGTCTGTGTGCGTCAGTGATCCACTGAGCTATGCTTGGTGGTGTTTTTGTGCACCTTCAGAGCCACTCATGCTAGATTGGTCAATGGTTAGAGGCCACACAAACTCAGAACTGATCTTGAAAGTGT